GCTTGTAATAAACTGGAAGTGTTGATAAACAACAGGAAGAAATGAACAATTTTTCACCGGCTTGCATTAAATATTCAGAAAGATTGAAACTCTGTGAAGCTGCTTTCAAAGCAACATGCCTCTGGCTGGCTACTGAAGGCAGTTGATCATTTCACGGAGGCATCATAAAAACATATTTTCAACGTGGATTGTTTTGTTTCAAACTTGAACTGGATTTTATCAAAATAACTTGAACAATAAAATTCTATGGAAGATATCTGAAAATAAACAATTCCAAATTGTTTACACTGTAAAAAAAACCAGTATCTGGACAGTTCAAAATGTTTTTACTCTACAGCATGAAGTGATTAATAAATTCAAATTTAATAGGATCCATGTGAAACTGCATGATACATATTCCAAAGATTATTTGTACAAACTCTATTTAACAAACACAATTACATCTTAACAAAACTGACACGATCAGTCAGGCAAGTTTGAAAACCAAAAATTACAACTGAACGAAAAATGATCTAATGTTGCTCGCATTTCATGAAAATGAAACAAATAAAAAGTGTTCGTTGCCATGAACGAGCCATGCTACCAAAACTTCCAAAGCAAAAGAGGAATACGTGAACAAACACTGTCTAATTGAAGACATAACAAAAAAAGGTAGCCTCATTTTTCATTCGAAATTTGCATTGTTTTATTTTGCGTGTTTACTATTATTATTTGTATTGCATGCGCTTATTAACTTTTCCTCGTAACAGCCTGAGAGGTTTGCGTTTGTTGGTGTCAGTGCTGTAATGTAACATCACATCACTTACTGACAACATCACATACCAGCGCTCATGACATTAAAACTTGCAACGATTAATTCATTTCATTTTCAACGTTTCATCCCAACTTGCGTCCCAACTCGAGCATTCCTTCTATGACTATTGGAAATTTCGTTAATTAATTTAAAAATGTGAACAATAGATGAATGAGCACGTCCCACTTGTTTTAGTATGTATTACAATTTTTCAATATTTCTATTTTGTTGGCAGAAACGTTTAAAAACTGCTAAGAAATAAAAAAAAAATTGAAATCTGAACACATGCCGATGACATATATTGAAAAAATCCGAAGAAGCTTGGTCGATGAATGGATGAATGTTCGAATGAATGAATTGATATAATACATCGGGATGAAATGATTATCTGCATGTAATTAAATCTATAAACAGACAGAAGATTGGGTAAATGTTTGAAAATAAGTTGCACACGTCCGTTCAATTCTTTTTATTATTCCAATTTAATTCCTACACAGGTGAATGAACCAGAAACAGGTGAGGACGCGGGCCTTTAGTCAGTTGTTGAATAAATTAACGATGAACAAATTAACAACGAAAATAAACTGTTAAGTGTAAAGCCTGCCTGCCAGCTGAGCTTAATAACTACGTAACCACGTTTTTCATCATCATCATCGTCGTCGTCGTCATCATCACCGTCGTCCTAGTTATAATCTCATTATCATCATAATCATTATTGTTATAATCTCATCATCATCATCATCATCGCTATAATACCATCATCATCATCATCACTCCAATATTATGACGGTTGTTATCCAATGTTGGCCCTACAAACACCAATTAACACAAGAAAAAATGTAGGTAAACAAGAAGAGAACGAAACACAAAGAAAAAGAAAAATAGAGAATCATGTTCCACGTGAGTTGTGTCCCGCATGGCTGGCTGTCCAAGCGTCCTTCCTGTCCATATATAAAAATGAATGATCGATCAGGTACTTGGAAATGAATTTTCATCGCAATGTTATTTTATATGAGATGTCAAAACAGAGGAGGACTGGACAGCAGGCTGTATTTTTTAAATTTTGAGACGTTTTTCAGGTTGAAGCATTTTAGGTATTTCATAATAGAAAAATCGTCAACACATATTATCAATAATATCATGAGATTAGCAATTGCATAGCTGCTACTCATAATTATTATATGAGGCACATTTATTTCTACCTATATATATATATATAATATATATTATTATTATTATTATTATTGTTACTATTATTATTATTATTGCTATTACTGAATTTTCATTAGAAGGAACATTTTTCGCATTTGAAGTGTGAATAAAGGATAAAATAATTTACATACATGGTGTGTGTGTGTGTGTGTGTGTGTGTGTGTGTGTGTGTGTGTGTGTGTGTGTGTAATGTACATCAAGATTATTGTATGCCTACGTGTAATGTGTATCACGCTGGACTGCGAGCACAAGTAGGCGGAAAGAGATGGAAGATAGACTGATGGAAAGATAAAGAAAGAAAGAGAAAAACGAAAAAGAAATAAAGAGTAAAGAAAGAAAAACAGAAAGATAAAAAAGGTTTCACATTACTGTAGTGCATGTATTGTTTAAGTACAGTATTTTTAGTTGTGTATAGAGCACGGTACCGTGAAGTACAATGTAGTACAATGTAGTCCATGGCATAACAGGGTTGTACACGCAGTTGTGTGCACGTGAAGTGTAGTACATGAAGATGGAAAGGTAGAGGAGGGGGAATAATTTACATGTGGAATTCTCGTGTGACAGGTGCAGGTGATGCTCATTTGCAAATGTGAATTGAACAACAAGCTGACAGGAAACAAACAAACGAACGAACAAACAAACAAACAAACAAACGAACCAACCAACCAACCCACATCACATCATATCAAGATGACTTAATAACCTCCGTGCACCAGCCTTCCTATCTGCCTTCATTTGTATACTTGGGACATTTCTCAAACAATTCTTTTGTACTCGTTGAAAAAATTAATCCACTAAATTCTATTAAAAATGTTTGAAAATTCTATACAATTATAAACGTTAGAATCTTCGAGGAATAAAATGTCGCAAAAAAATTGGGAACTTTTTCAAAAGGTTTTTTTGCATTTGTTTGTTTGCCCACTCGTCGCTAATATCAACTGTTGCTTTTCTTCCGTATGCGGAAAGTTTAAACTGGAAAAAATAATTTTAAGGGAACAAATATATATATATATATATATATATATATATATATAATAGAGAAAGAGAGAGAGAGAGAGAGAGAGAGAGAGAGATAGTGATAGATGATAGGGAGATAAAAGAGAAAGGAAGAGTTGTTGACGAACGAACTGTTTGATGATTTTAAAAGTTTAATCATCGTTTAATTGTTTGCAGTCAACGTTCACATTTAGGAGAAAAAAAAGTGTCTTATTCAATTTCTTATTATATATATATATATATATATATAGAAAAATAATTTTGAGTATTACATAGACATGCACATTAGGAGAAATAGCAACATTCACATTTGGTTAATTTATGAAGCAAATTGTTGCTAGACCGTCTCAGCAGACATGAAGTGCAGTGTGGAAGGGGTGGATCAAGTTGGTTGAGACGTGTGCCACTTGAGCGGATGTGACGAATTCGCAGCAGTTCAAAAAAGTATGGTGAAGGATTAAGTAGAAAATGTAATCACAAAGATGGTATATCAACATTATTAATGACAGAAAAAAACAGAAGGGTGCCTGATTCGCGTTTGCTAACTAAATAAACTGGCAGCAAAACACTTGAGATTGAGAAACAAACTGTCGGAGTGTGAAACGAAAATAAATCATTCATATCACTAATCTGGTGAATAAATGATTTTAAATATTTTAACACCAATGTTGAAATTGTTAACTTGCCTGACGAATGAACGCAGTCATAATGGTTCATTCATTCATTCATTCATTCATTCATTCATTCATTCATTCATTCATTCATTCATTCATTCATTCATTCATTCATTCATTCATTCATTCATTCATTCATTCATTCATTCATTCATACATCCATTCATCCATTCATTCAGTCATTCATTTTTTATTCATTTATTCATTCGTTTGTAGTAGCTTTCGATCAATTTTTATTTTTTCATTCCCAAAAAAAATGTGCAAGTATTCAAAGCAGTAATAATTTTTTTAAATCTACTTTTGTGCTGAAAATTTAAAAACAGCAAAACCAAAAATTGTATAACAAAAAAGTTTGTCAAGCAAATAAATAAATGAATAAATAATAATTTAATAAATTAATAAATAAATAAATAATTTTAATGAACGAACGAACGAACGAACGAACGAATGAATGAACGAACGAACAAAAAATACAACGACTAGTAAGTGTGAATAGGTGTGTGAATAAAAGTTCATGAAGAGCATTCCTCATTAAACAGCAGAAAATAATGCCAACAGTACTAACAGCAGAACTCGTTGGACCAGACGCTGGCATTGTTGACGCCGTTGTTCTTGCCGTAGTGCCACAGACCGGCCCCACAGTATTTGATCGTCTCAATCTTCAAGAAGTCGAAACTGCAGTAGTCTGTGCTGCTCTCCAGCTGGAAAAATTTGAAGTAGAAGCAAATTTTTCGCTGATTGTTGGCGGGCGGGAAACGCAGGGTGGTGTTGCAGGTGAGGTTGCAGGGGTAGTTGTGGGGGAAGTTGTAGCTGGTGAGCAGGCCCCGGTAGTCGTAGTTGGCGTAGAGTGACATGTTGCAGTTTATTTCTGCACCTGCCAATTTATAAAAATCAACGTTCTTCATATAACAGGGGAAATGTATTGGCTTATTATATCCATTGCATTAATGTGAATTCTTAAAAGTTTATTGATGGAAGGTTATTCAATGCAAAGTGACCTTCACCTTTCAACAATGACATGCGTGCACGATAATACGAACATTTAATAAATAATAATTGAAATTAAAACGGTTTAGATCAAAAATCATCAAACATGAAGAAGATATTAGAAACTTTAAATTGAAAAACTGCTGACAGTCAAATGATGTCAATGAATCAAAGAGAAACATTTCAAGATGGTGAAGAATGACACCACTGCCACTGACTTCACCGAAATAAGTATATAAGGAAAATAAATTTGCCCTGTACAATGGAATAAGACGATATACAATCTGGAAAAAATGTTTTTCTTGAATGATGAACGAACGAAACTGTTTTTCACTTGAATGAAAAAAAACAACTGGAGAGGAGGACGTAAAGATAAGGAGAGGACGAACGGTAGCAGGTTAATCCAACGAAAGCATTCATAATCCCATTTCAACGCTCCTCCAGATAAATTATATTGAGCAATCTATTCATTTAATTCGTTTTATAGTCCGCCATTTAACATCAGAACGATTTCGCCAAATCTCAGAGGTCCGCTTGCCTGACGATTTGATCAAACAATCAACTCCAGCGTTTTACGCACCAATCAAACTTCTCTCCAAGTAATGACGTCATATCCGCTTTTTTTCATTGCATTTTCAAAATAAACAACACTAACATCAAAAACAACAACGACAACAACGCTAAGAATATGAAAAGACATCAAAATCATTAACATCGTCCTCAAAAAGATGACAAAACACTTTCAAATAAAACTTGCAAATGCAATCTATTTGGCCAAAAGTTTGAATCGATTATGGAGAAAATGTTGACATGCTTGTGAAACTTTTGCTGGTTCTTGCTGAATGAATGTTTCAGTGCTTTCCAATAAATAAATAAAAGAGTCAAATCTCAGACGAATGATGAAGATGATTGCAAATAACGAAGGAGGCATCAGATTGGCGGAGCTTATGGAGATGGCGAGCTGGCAGGCGGGCAGGAAGCATTCCATCCCGTGCTAACAAACAGGTCGTTTGAAATGCATTAATATTATATGACGATTTATAGCCGCATATTAACTACCGCCATTTGTTTTTCGGTTGTCATCAGGAAAAACTTCGCCAACAAAATCTTCAGAATGACAATCGTCAACACCAGCCTCATTGCTCTTGCAGCATGCATCTACTTCATCGCCGCAAATGCCATCATTATAAGCATCGTTAAGGTCACCAACATCATGACACTGATGTTTCCACCGCCACCACCATTCAGACAGACATATTTACATACAGACAAACAGACAGACATACAGACAAACAGACTGACACACTGACAGACAGACAAACAGACAGACAAACAAGAACGTCAACAAAAGATTTATCACCTTCATCCTCTTTTTCATCATCCTCCTTAACCTCCTCCTCATCATTGTCGTCATCATAACATCATCATCATGCACGCCGTAATAAAAAAAGATTTTAATTGCAGTGTGGAAAGCATGGGAGTCAACATAATTGTAAGCAGTTTTCATATTATCATCATTATGTTCACTCACTCACACTCTAACTTAAACACTCACTCACTCTCACATCTCACACACAAACACGCACAAGATGATTATGAAGATGATTATGAAGATGATTATGAAGATTATTATGAAGATGATTATGAAGATGATTATGAAGATGATTACGAAGATGAACAAATGATTGAATCAACAGTCATCCCCATTATCATCATCATCATCTTCTTCAGCATCATCATCTTTATCATCATCATTATCATCATCATTGCCGTCATCATCATCATCATCATCAGCCATTAGCTTTGAAAATGGCCTACATTACAATTTTTAGTACCCTGATTATTAGTATCACTAAAATCATCATCATCATCATTATTATTATTATTATTGTTGTTGATGTTGTTGTTGTTATTATTTTTGTCATAGTCCTTGTGAATGAGAATGGCATCGTCATTGTCATTATCACTTTTATCATCATCATCACCACCACCACCACCACCACCATCATCATCATCATCATCATCATCATCATCATCATCATCATCATATGTACTATCATCATCAATAACACTGTTTTTACAACAGCTATAATTATAATTATGAACGGTCTTACAAACATCGCTATTAGATTTTATCATCATCATTAAGACACCACCATCATTATGACATCATGACATCATCATCATCATCATCATCATCATAATCATCATCATGACACTACCATCATTACTATCACCATCATCTCCACCACCATCATCATCACCACTATCCTACTGTTATAATTAGAGTAATGTTCATCACCATCATATCATCAGCATGACGTCGCTAACATTTGTCGTGGCAATTACCAAGAAAATGTGACACTACACATTCATTCACTCATTCAATTATTCATTCATTTATTCATTCATTCATTCAGTCAGTCAGTCAGTTATTCATTCACTCATTCATTTAGTCATTCACTCACTCATCTATTTTTCTTCACTATCTTCACCGTGGCGTCATCCTCATCATCATCAATGTCATCATCATCATCGTCTTCGTCATTATCTTCTTTGTCATCATCATCATCATCATCATCATCATCATCATCATCATCATCATTTTCATCGTCGTCGTCATTATCATATTATATCATAATTTTCTATCACTGCCTCGTTACCTAAACATCACAATCGTCTTAATAATCAACATCATCATCGATATCTTTACAATCACCATTATCATCACCTATCCACTATTTTTACCATTATCAGAGCAATTATCACTAATTACATTTCGACATTTTAAATATTATTTATGGTGTCATTATCGTCATCGTCGTCATCATCATCATCATCACCATCATTATTATCATCATCACCAACACGTTACCACCACCAAATGGTATCATCACCATCATCATCATAATCATCTTACTACCTGACTTCTGACCTCATCGTACACGCCACAGTTTGCTACATTGATGTTTAATCATTTCTGTCATCACCATCATCATCATCATCATCGCCATCATCATCATCATTATCACCATCATCATCACCATCATCATCACAATCATCATCACTCCCATCATCACCATCATAACCATCATCATCATCACCGCATATTATTATTATTGTTATTCTGTTACCATCATCATTATCATCATCATCGATAACACAACGCCATCATCATCGTCATCATCGTCATCATCATAATCTTCAACCTCAGCCAGCAAGCAGACTTTGGCAGCATTCCGAAATGAAATTTATGGGTAGTTATTTTGAAAAATGGATAAATGAATTTTCATCGCGGGTCACTTCACATGCTACCCTGCTACCACTGCTGTTACCACTACTGCTGCTGCTGCTGCTTTGGAATCAACATTCAACAATGGCAACAACAAATGCCAACATTTAACAATCCTAACATCAACATTTACAGTAACAGATATGAATATTAAACGATGATAACCACAACAACATTCGCAACAACGCCAGCAGTTACATAACAACAACATTACCAACATCAAATATCAACATTCAACAATAATAACAACAACACTAACAACAAAACTAGCAGCAACATAACAACAACACTATCAACAACAAAATAAACATCAACAACATTCAAAATACCGAACAGCAAACATTTCAACAACCGAATAATAAATTCTAAACAACACTCACCATCAACAAACTTCAACATTCAACAAAAAAACTTAGCAAATCACAAAAAAACACAACTAAAAATTCAGCAAAAACAACAACAGCAGCAACAACAACAGCAGCAGCATCAGCAGCAGCAACAACAACAACAACAACAACAGCAGCAGCAGCAACAACAACAAAATACGGCGTGAATGTTGATAGAGGTTCTAGGTAATCATATAAAATTTAATAACGCAAAAAATTTGTACACGGGAGAAGAGCGGGAAATGTGCGTGTGCATGTGAAAAATTCAAGGAAGATGCATTTTTAAAAATAGCGCAAGAAATAAATCATTTTGTTACAAATGGAAAATAAAAAAAAATAAAATCACTGCCTCTGCAATTGTATCTTGGAAATTTTTCAGAAATAAAATTTCTGATCTGTAACAGCACTTTAATTATTGCCATTACTCATGTGAATGTGGCAGAAATTTGACGTCAACAATTTTATAACAATTTTCTCGAATAATATAAAAACATTGCGTAAAATTAAAAAGACTGAAAGTCTGATGTAAGAGATTGGATGAAAAGCAAGAAATAAATCAAATTAAAGCGATACGAAAAATAACAAAGCAATGGACGCAAAAAATCATAAAAAAAAGCTGTCAAATAAAAAATATCCATCGAGTTAACATCAGCCAGCCAACATCAAACAACATCAGCCAGCCAACATCAACCACCATCAACAACTGATGACCACTGAAACAGCATGCTGGCCAGCTACAAAAATTTAGCAACAAACACACATTCATCAAACCAAACTATGCTAACAACAACTTTCTTCAGCAACTTCAAACAAACCAAAAAAGACATCAGACCAGACAGACAAACAGGGCATATAAGCAAACAAACATACCCAACATACAAACTCATCAAACATACCAGACATACAGACAGACATACCTGACATACCAGACATAGAAACAGACATGCCAGACATACAAACATACATACTAGACAAACAAACAAATAAACGTAGCAGACAGACTAAAGACACAACTAAACAAGAAATGAACAAAATATTTGCAATCAGTCAAACGAATCGTTGAACTAATAACGTAATGAGAAGCTAGCTGTAAAACGTGGGAGCAATAGAATAAACTATCGGCACGAAATAACATTGCTGTTTCAATTGCTGGCCAAGTTACTGATGCTGTTGCGTGTTTATTATCCTCCCAAACGATGACGTCATGTTGTCGTGTCGCTTGTTGTATGTACTAGTAAATAGCACAAAAACATCCATAGCGGTTGTTGCTGCAAGGCTAAACAACGCAACCGAACAATAACCACACCAACTGACAGATGAATAAGAACATCACACATGGTCTCAACCTAGATGGCATCAACGGCGCAGAATCAGGAAGGCATTCAACCAAAAATCAAAATGCCCGTTGCAAAAAAGTAAGAAGAAATGAAAAAACAGAAAAAGAAAAACCAGGAAATGAAAAGAGAAGAGTGGGGCAGTGATCTCCAGAGTCGTGTGGCTGGTCATCATTCAAAGTGAGCAGTTCATTGTGTGAACTCTATCACAAAGAACAATGAACAAAACATTTTTCAACACCAACACCAGCCACTGCATAAGTCTCCAACAAAAAGCAACACGAGGCCATGTTGTTGTCGTTGTTGTTGCTGCTGTTGTTATTGTTGTTGTCGTTACTGTATCTGATGAAATTACATTTTTCATTCGAGAGTACTTGAAATAATTTTTGCTTAGAGAACATACAACATGCGACATACAACTCGCAACGATGTACAATGCAAATGAAATAATCTTAGTCACGAAAGAGCGAACACGGAAAAAATTCAATGGCTCTTCATCTCTTATTAATCAATTTTTGTTTCATCTTTTTGTTTGTGCTTGTTTGCAATTGTTCATGTTAGCATGTCCACCAGAAGCATTGTTTATTTTTATTGTTCACCAACATTGTTCACCAACATCGTTCACACACAATGTTCACCTAATTGACATGTATTGTTTAAGTTTGGTTCTCCTGACCATTAAAACTGTAAAACACAGAGTTACATTTATGTTAAATGCATAAAAAGCAAGATACAAATTGTGAGGACACTTATCTGCACCCTGCACGAAGGGGCATGCTGTAAGCCTGCAGTGGAAGACAGCCAACGTGTATATGACTTTCTCCATTTTGTCAGCCCTCTCTACCCCTCACGTTTCTTTCAATGTTTCCTCCCTCAGACGTCTTCTTACATCATCTTTTCAACCTGTCTCCATAAAATTAAATGTGCAAATGTGCTTGCGTGGACTATTCATCACGTGGCTGAGCACGTGACACCGACCTACTCACGTGAGAGTACTGTTTGTTTGTATGTGTGCGTCTGTGTGTGTTTGTGAGTGGGTTTGTGTGTGTATGTGTGTGTAAAGGTTTGATCCTGTTGGTAGCTGGGTGACCGACCGCCGAGTTGGTGGCGGAGCTGAGGCTAGGTAGGGTTTCCCTGACGCAATGATGAGCAGTGCTGGGTATGTTAGATCTATCTAAGCAATCAGGTATTCATTATTTACTTTACATTCACATGAACAACGGGTGTACTCACCGACATTCCAAGTCATCAGCCAATCTTTGAGATTTCATTAAAGTTAGCATTTTTAAAAATTAATGAGGATCCTATTTGAATGCCTGAATGTAATGACATCTACGCACAGCTATGCAAATGACAACGACAAACAATGCAAAACAACAAACAATACAGAACAACAAACAATACAGAACAACAAACAATACAAAACAACAAACAATACAAAACAACAAACAATACAAAACAACAAACTGAGGATGGTGCATTCACTGTGCATGCGATACTCTGTACATATTGAGTTATAAATACAAATAACAACACAGACATGCTGGTATGTGTACTATACATTGTGCTGGGACGTTGCAAAGCAGCTCAGTGCATATTACTCTCATTATATTTTAATGGGTGTCTTGTTGTTTCTTTTAGCGGCGGCACATGTATGAAGCATCAGTAGCAGGCGTTTGTGTGGCTGTAGTAACACCACCTTCCTCCATTCATCAATCCATCCTGCTAACTGCTCTGGAAGTATAAACTACTGACATCTAGACGTTTAAATAAGATACTTTGCTAATTTGAGCATTACTGGTTTTGAATTTTCCCTACCAAGCTCATTAGAACGGCCATGAACTAATCAAGAAAGAAACACAGACATTCTCGTTAATATATATATATATATATATATATATATATATTAACGATAAAATATATTAATATATATATATATATAAATATATATATATATATTACAAGAGATACCATACATATATGGAATATATATGCTATATATACGGTTATCCTATATATGTATTATTTTTCAAATATTTTTTATTATTATTCCTAATAAAACAAAAATATTTATCTTCAAAAGAAAAAGTGGGAGAACAAATTGCGTTTGCGGCCGTATCAACCCCCATCTGTAACACTTTTTTGGAGCTTTCATCTTTTTTGAAAAAAAAACAAATTTATGTGGCTTCGTCGACGAAAAGTTTCTCATATCGTTCTCTTTGTTTGCAAATTTTAAAAATTTGATCATTCACATCACGTTGCTTACGCGAGTACTCGAAAGTCGAAAACTTTGAATAGCAAAGAAAATTTGTATTTCGTTTTAAATTCTTATTTATTCTTTGATGGTGGACGATAAGACCTGCGGAAGCAATCAAGAAGCAATCACATTTTAAAAGACAATGGAACTTTTAATGCTCAATTGTAACCAGCAAACAATAAATATTTCTTATCTCAACGATACAAGCAAATATGAAAATGTCTTTATATTTCCCAAATATCGCGTTTCAAACGAAATTTAAAAAAATTGCGTATAAAAATTTGAAACGAGCATGTTCTCGAAAAACACTCGCGGTGAAACAATATAAATAAACATAAATGAAAATAAATAAACATGGATAAATAGGAGTAGCAATGAATACACATAGCATGGAATCGTACCTATGTATGTACGTTGGATATTTTTGGATGGAAGCGTGATTGTTTGTGTTGGACTTGATTGCATGAATTATCCGCCTCGTGAGTATTTACGCTCACTTGGCCGGTTCGTACTGCAGTGTATTTTTCCTTGCCTATGGAGCTGTTTTCCTCTGTTCACTTGTGTTGGAAAGATGTGCTTTCGTGAATATGTGCACATTTGTCTAAATCCACTGCTACAACTGCTACCGCTATTATTGTTGCTACAACTGCTATTAAAACTATTGCTTCTACTACTACAATGTGTATCAACTGCATGTTTTTTTTGTCAGTTAATAATAAATTCGTGGCTTCAACAAACAATATTTACTCTATAATACTTTTATTAAAATTACAGTTACACACGTTAATGACAAATTCTTTTGTTTTCGCTTTCTTATGAAACAATCATGAGCCAGCATTTGGAAGCTGCAAATGCTTTCGATTGAATGCGAGGTACCAGTTAAAATAGCGCGACATTATTCAGTAAAAATTTTGCCCATGAAATCATCATTTGAATTTACGTACAACGTTATAAGAATTGACGTTATAAAAACTACTGCAGCGAATTTGTGAAGTTGCGTTAGAAAAGCCTGGTTGCATAAAAACACGAAGTCATAAAATGAATTATTGCCGGCAAACATTATATAAGTACATGTGGTACTATAGAGATATCATATATATATATATATATATATATATATATATATATATATATATATATATATATATTAATATATAGGATTAGTTGTGTGTGAATATTGGTCATTGGTGAACATTGCGAGCGTAATGATAACCTGGCAAGCATTAAACGATTATAAAACTTTACAGTTGTGTTAAATCCTGGTTTATGATTTTTTCAAAATAATGCAAATCTTTCGAGAGCAACTTTACGATCGGATTTAAGAATCAACTCAATGGAAGCAGTGACAGTAGCAAACAGAAAACGAACTCACTCGACGAGCATTGAACGCAGCAGCAAACAACAGCTGCTACACAACATACACACTCACACAATGGCTGACGTGAAAAATTACAAAACATCAAAATAGAAGCAGAAATGGTGTTAGCATATTCATTATATTACAGCATTAAATCAAACAGTCAGACGGTCATGGTCATTATAGGGCCGAGACAGCAATCGTGTTTATTTACTCCTACGGTGTAGTACAGCAAATATTATGACCGCACACACCTTTGTATGCAGTACACACTATCCTAGTAGAACATGAATGGTATTTATCAGCTGTAATCAGTACAAGTGTATTTTACTTCTTCATTTCTTATATAACAAATCAAATTTTGGAGAGAAAAATGTAAGAATTCTGTGGTAGGCTCACTTTAGGATGCAATAAAGAACAATCTGTCGGGAGAGCTCTGATGATTTAGTAATATAACCTGACAACATTTTGCTGACGGCTTTCTGGCGAACATAGAAAGATTCAAATATTCCAGTGAGATTAATTGAACTTTTCATTCCACAAATTTTTTGTGATCGTTTCGGGTGAAATTTCAAATAGAATTAAACTATACACGGTTGATTTTGGGACATTTTATACGTGCACAATCATCATTAACTTTTTCATGTTCTTAACCATAATTCATATCAATGTTTTTTTTAATATAACCGAAGCATTAGCTTTTAACTCATACGTAATAATAATAATTTTCTACTGGTTAATCCACACTCTCCATTTATATTATGCTATGAAAAGATTTTGTTTACTTTTTAATAAAATGATGTCATTGTAAAAAATAATTTAAGCCTCATGTGACACAAAAGTCATTTGTTGGAAGAAGTATTAAAAAATGTTCATGTATCTTTCCCACTCCACCCCATAAATTCAATTTCAGTTTGTTTGATGATGCATCACATCCTCTGTCGGAACACTACAATAAATGCGTTGTTTTTATCTCCACAACTTCATTACCCTCACTATTCTACGTACGTGCCTGCCTGCCTACGTAACATTGTAACCTAGCTAGCTGTTCAGTACGCTCACTCCTTAGTCGATCACAAAGAACTTATCAAAAGACTCATCATCAGTTAATTTTAAAAATGAATTTAAATAAAATTAAAACAGACATTGTCTCACACAAACAAAAAAACGATATTTTATAAAATTTAAAATAGCTGTTCAAACAAATCTTCAAAATTATTTTAGTTTGCTAAATACCTTGTAACAGGAAAAACGAGAAAAACTTCTAGTCTCCAAATAAATTATATTCATATTAATATCCTCAAATTCACTTAATAAAAACATTGCATATATATGTAAATGTGTATATCAAGGAACATCTGAGACGTTGAAATCTATGAAATGTGATTGAAATAAATAAATTGAAAGATTTGAAACGTAGTAAGTAACGAATATGCTGATCAAATTGAGATGTGGCACCGAAAATGAAAAGTACTGATGAAATAATTAACTAATCCTGACTTAAGCACAATGTCACTGCACATCTAATTGTTGGTTGGTTGGTCTGCACGTGTGACCTCACAACTCACGACATTCTCGACCGATCATTTATGTTTTTGAAATGTTATTTGCCGAGGACAAAGAACGATTGATTTAAATGAAGTGATTAAATGTGCAGTTGTCAAGTAAAAAAAACAGACTTTTATAGTCGAATTGGAGATCATCTTAAGACGATTGAATACGTACCAAAATGATCGGATGCATTCATCTGCGCGAGTTGTGCGTGTTCCAATGATATTAATTTCACTTAGTTTTGTTTTGCGCAAGGACATCCTAATGCACAATGTATGTTTGCATTGTGTCTTTCATGCTTATATTCAGATATTAACGATACAATATATTACGCAATAAAAAGGAGTAGAGAAGGAGCACATGTGTACCATTGCATTCGCATATAAACATTCCTAAATATATATGTCTGTCTGTTTGTCTGTCTGTCTGTGTCTGTCTGTATATTTCTATTTAGTAAATGTACATATAAATGTAGAATTCGTATATATGTATGTAGTATGTTTACGTATGCATAAATGTTTGTATGTAATTTTGTGCATGCAAGCGTATAACCTTGCAGTATCCAACTGAGAAAGAAATATCCGTTAATGAAAGCTTGGCGTGTGAATGCGGGTTCACATTCACATGAACATCATTTTCATGTTCTAAATTTCAATGAACAGAGTGTAAAACATTTTTCATAATATGAGAATGTTAATGTACGTATTTATTGTTTATTTGTACAGTGTGGAATAACAAAATAATGAGTTCAGGGCATCTCATCTAGCCGGCGATATATAAGGAAGACGTCGTACATTTACTGCTGGTGCTAAACACCCTACCAAACCAACAAACACACACACACACATACACACACGCACGCACGCACACACACGCTGTATACATGAGTGAAAACATGGCCTCACACAAACACACATACATTTATGTAAGTGTGTTTGTGTTGTTATAAATACAAACAAGTACTTAGAGAGTAAGATCACATGTGCAGATTGTCAATAAAAATGCGAAACAAATAAAAAAATAACATTACAACAGGGAATTTAAAAAAAAACAAAAAAGTCAAAAACTACAAAATTCCAAAGAGCATAGATACAAAGGACAAATTAAAAATGAATTTTGCAATTAAAAACATGCACATACACGTGATCATATGGACAAGTGCAAATAACAATGCATACGTTTTAATGATATATGCATGCCAGCGTGCGTGCGTGCCTTTTCATATTTAATTGCCAAATTGAAAAAAGTGAAAACATAATTTAAACAAAATATTAATGAAGAACTTATCTGAAAGTTTCTACACACAACCACATGAAAACACGTACAAAAAACACACAAACGAACGCACATACATATTATACAATACATTCAAATACATTACAACACGCACATAAAATGAATATTCAAACTTTTGAAATTTAAACGAAAGGTGGACCAGTAAAATATAGGACACCAAGTTAATGGGATGAGAGATTTAAGCATGGAAATACATAAAATGTTGAACGTCTTGAATAAATGCCGGCAAGGTTAAATCCTCGAAGGTCAAAGGTTGACGGTGATTGAATAAAAAACTTTCCATGTTTCTGGAAGAAAAAATAGATGAGCGGATAAATAAATGGGTAAAGAAATGAATGAACAGTCGAACGAACGAACGAACAAACGAACGAACGAACGAACAAACGAACGAACGAACTAATGAATGAATGAATATGTGGATGAAAGGTTATGTGGTAGTTATTGCGATATATTGACCTGCCTACAAAATTTGTTTTATTCAAACATTCATAACAAATAACAAACAAATGCAGACACACACGCACATTTATCTAATATACATGTGTGTGTGCGCGTGTGTGTGTGTATTTGAATTTCATTCTGTGCATCATGCAATTTGAATCACTCATGGACTATCAAGTATACAAATGCAATCTCGTATTGACAGGATGCGTATTGCGTGCAACGTGCACCCTACATGCGTACATTTGCATACATACAAAATACCAACATCCGTACAAACATGCATATCCATATAAGGTTTCAGAACAATAACGAGGTTAGATTATTGTAACTCGTTGATGCTTGGTGCTGGGGTTGGTGTGGTTTAGAAAGTTCAACGCATTAAAACGCTGCTGCAAGTCTAGTTGTTGGGCTAGGTAGACGTGCTGACATAACCTTATGCTGGAATTACTGTTCAGGGCTGGCAACTACAAATACACCAAAGTGGAAACAAAAACAGACATACCAAACTGAAGGATTGCAGTAAGATGGATAAAGGAAATGAAGTAAATAAAAATGAACAATTTATAGGACGGATGGATGAGCTTAAAAAAACATTGCAGCAAGTGAAACTCGATTCAGAAGATCATGAAAAAATGAGAGTCGGCCACGTCTAAATGTACATTGAAGCGAACGTTGTACACACCAGAACCTGCATACAACATGCACAATGCGAGAGAAAACATTCCAAATGTATGGAAGGTTGTACGATACGAAGACGGAGGGGGGTGTCTGCCCAGTGCCTATACATCAGCAAATGTGTACGTGCGTACGGGTTTGCGTGCGTGCGTGTGTGCGTGCATTTAAAACTTTAAGCCGCACATTCATTGTGTTTGCTAAACGTTTTTAATAGAGCGATTGAAATTGATGGACTCGACGTGATGAGATTTCTTTAAAATGTTTATCTAACTTTGATACACATTTAATCTTGCGGAAATTTCTTCTATGAAATAATTGTCAAACATTTTTTTGTTGTTGTTCTAGTTTTCATCTATTTTGTTGTTCTGTGAATATTCAAATAATGAAATGTATGAATATTCAAATAATGGATTGTATAAATATTCAAATAATGAATTGAATGAATATTTACTTACAACGAATTTCAAAATTATCCTTTGATATATCAATAAATTACAAATAATGTGTAAGGTGTGTGTGTGTGTGTGTGTGTGTGTGTGTCTGTGAGTGTATCTGTGTGTGCACACACACAACACACACACACACACGTGATGTCTCCCTCCATACTATACTCTGCAGCACTTTCAAATGCACCAAACCTCTAATGAGCACCTACTAATGTTGGATTGAAACTGATGGAGGAAATGTACTGATGACGATGATGACGACGATGACGACCATGATTATGATGAGGATGATGATGATGATGATTATGATGATGATGAGGAGGAGGAGGAGGATGATGAGGAGAAGGATGATGGTAGAGGTGGTGGTCGTGATATTGGTGATGACGATGACGACGATGTTTGCGTTGGTGTTTAATGATGAGAATAATATCGTTAATAACAGTAACTTCACGTAAGAAAATTACATTGCAACACATTTTCAGCCACTCACTCCTTTGTTTATTCACTGGCTAAATATAAAGACACAGAAGCATATTAGAGTGTAAGGTGGTGGTTGATTGAGCCTGATGTCAGCCTGAAATGAGATGAGAATCAATCAACTAGTGCGAGCTTCATAGTTGCAATTCTTTTTACTTTCCAACGATATTTTTAATATAGGCCTATGTCTTCAGAAACAACATTTATTAATTTAATAAATTTATTATTAATTTGATTAATTAATTATTAATTTGATACATGTATTTATATTCTGATCGAAAAATTTCAGTACAGTACAGCATAAAATGGAAAATCAAAGATTTAAAAATATTTTTTTT